ATGTAGACCCTTGCAATCATTGCATCCGCCTCACCGAGCCCAAAACCCTCTTGACCATGAGCGGCAATCCCTGGATTTTCCCGCGGAGGGAGGGCGGGGTTCAAGTACCTACACATGAGTGGTACCTTCTGGCCCAGCACGTGAGTGTTCTAAGCCAAAATTAATCGCAAGCAGTGGCCATTGGAATATGCAAGAGCAAGCCTAAGCGGGAGCAATCATTGTCGCGCAACTGTCACGTATGGATGCACTGTGCATTGGTGGTTGCTTGGCCGCACATGAGCCATTCAGCCGCAACAACAGCATCCTGGCGCTTTTCAAGCGGGAATAAGTTTTTGAACCCAGTGCCGCACATGCTTCACACGTAAAACCTCCCTAGCATGCCTTACCGGAGCTCACTTTCACCAACCCAAATGCATTTTGCCACCCCCCAAAAAAGTACGCTCAACCCAATCATGGACGCCGCCACCAAGAACTTGGGAAGCCATCTGCACCAAGCTCTTGATTCGGGGCCCGCCCAAAACTGAGAAACCCGCCATCTCCATTGCGAGTCCTGGCGCACCGGGCGGCTTTTCGGCTCTACAAGAACAACACCTACTCATGAATACTGGGGACAAACCGCCAAGCCACTGGTGTAGAATGTAGTCCATCCACCGTAGGACCCTGATGAAGGCTCTTCATTAATGCCTTTTGATTGGCTCTTGTAGCTTCCAAGAAGGAAGGGGGCGGGCTTTTAATTAATCAACCCAGGGTTCGAGGGGTACCTTCCCCAGTCTTTCCAGGAATCCTTCCTTTCAGGAACCATCAAACACCCAGGGGAAACAGGTCCGTTTTTGAATAGAACGATGGTTGAAAAGAATGGAAAAGGACTTGAAGGGCAGGGGCTGAACTTCGCTAAGACAGGCTACCATCCTGGCCCGACGACCAACACAAACCCTCAAAACGGACCCAAAGCTTCCGAAAATCACCTCCAAACCTCCAATATCGCCTCCCAGCCTTAAAAATCCTCCACCTCCAAACATCTATCGCACTCACCTCTTGCCATCTGGATCTGAGTAAGCCACGGTTGGATTTGGGGAATCGGTGGAAAAAAACTGAACCATTGATCCCCCCGTGAAATTCCTTTATCCGTTAAAAAAAGCGGAGTGTTGGCAAATCCTATCCCAAATCCTCTCTGCTCAAAGGCCACTACAAAGGAAGCCCCTTGCGTCACCCCATGCTAGCGGTTCCCGGAGTGGTGGAACTGGCTCCGGGCCCCGGATCCTCACGGCTCCGGGCGGCTTTTCTTTTCTGCGCTGCGCGGCGGATTCGAGTCGCTGCAGCTCGAGGAGCCCCGCAAGTTTTCCTGTGCAGGGCTCATAAAACATTTTTCCAAGGCAGCCTCGCCCCCGGGATTTTTGATGGTTGCGCCACCAGCGCGAGTGCAGGTTTCCGTAGATCCGGACTTGGAACAACGAGGGCCCTGGCTGCCTTCGCCCGAGAGGAAGTTTCTCGGCGATATATATGCGTTGTCTCAAGCAGCGAAACGGCTGCTTCCGCTTCCTGGACATTTTGACCCTTCCGCATATCGTTCCTTGTCGTATAACGCTGCTTCACAACCTGATAAGATAGGACGGCCATCAATGCTCTCTGAGCCGTTCACCTCAGTTTCCCATCTTGGCTTTGCCATTGACCGATTCGCAAATGGTCAGATCTCGATGTCTGAAGGGCCAAGAAGTCCGCAAGGTCAAAAACACCTCTGAATTCCAGCGACCAGTCAACTTAACAAACGGTCGCCTCAGCTGTCGCCTTTCAAACTTTCGCCCAGACCTGACCTCTCGGCCTTTACTGGGGGCCTTGGACTCATCTGTCGCCATGAATCTCCTATCACTCCATCCCCCTCATCCTGCGCGTCATCCCCGCAACAGCATCGCTCAATGCCCGCGAAGAATTCCAACAACTCACTTCCCGAGTAGAGTGGCCAGACAAAGCCGAAACTCTTGGATTACAACTAAAGTGATCTTCCTCAAAAAAATAAAGTCCAGGAACTTAGGGAGCGAGAGAATCAATGACCGAGCGAGCCCGCACGAAGGTGTTTCTTTGGAAGCAAATTGCAGTGAAATAAGCAGACATATAAAACATCCACCCTACCTTAAGGGAGGGTGGAGGGTGCTGCAGTTCCATCTATCTAGTGAACCGAAAACTGCCTCCGGCCTTTTTCCTTCAGAGATAGGTGGGCTGAAGGGTGCCTGGGAAGTGTGGGCCCCTGTGTCAGGGAAAGCACTGCAGCATCGTTCTCGTAGGCAGCTCAAAAACTATGTCGCGCATTTCACAGGAGTGATTATCCCAGTGTCAGCGGGAAGGGCTCAATTTGCAAGATGCATTTTGCATAGCACCGTGCTCCTGAGGGATCCTTACATTATACACCTGAACATTGCCACTTGTAAATGGTGGTTTACCCCCAGTGAACATCCCAATCCAACCACTAAACTAGGTTCTAAACTGGGTGGTGAATTCACCTACCTACCAAAATGGGATCCCATTGGTTTCGACCCACAGCAACATGTTCCAAATGGTTGCAAAATGGAGATCTTTTAAAAAGCTCAGGGGAGAAAGCCGCTGGAGCCGCTTTTGGGGCCGAACCTTTGCTGGCGAGACTTCTCTGCCAAAAAATCAAATAATTGTGTGGGTCCAGGGGAAATCCAATTTTCAATAAAAAAGTATGGGTCCAAAAGTCTAATTCCACTCTTTCCCACAAAGCCACCATTCCAAAGATCCGGTACCGAATAGCCAGCCACTGCTCTAAGCGAACCGACACGAGGCTTTAAGGTCCAGGTCCCAAGTTCACGTGACCAGGTTCCGGTCAGCGAGCGCCGTGCCGGCCATACGTCCAGCCGCGGTGTTGCCACCCCGGCAGTTTGAAGCTTCAAGCTCCGCCAACCTGGTTGCTGTAACGACCCCCCTGCAAAAAGTGTCGCTTTTCGGGGGCTTAGTGGAAAACCCAAGTGAAGATCCAACCCAATAGCAGTCAAGCTAACGACTGCCAAGTTGTTGGCTGCAAAAAGATACCCCTGCACAAGAGAACACATGCGCTAGCATCATTCTCATTCTGCTAGGCTGGCGTGCGAGCGTTCCATTTAAGCCCGTAATTTGAACATGACAGTGCTTGGAGGACCTAGGGGATGCCTGTCATTTGCCAAAGCTTCGGTTGTCGACACCGCGATTCGAGTCGGCTATTTGTAAGTAGGGGCCCAGCAGCTTCGGGTGCCCGTTGCCCTGGTTGTAACTCCACATGGGAGGAAGTCTAGATCCTAAATCCCCTTTGATTCCAGCGATCATATGGAAGCATCAAGTCCACTCCTGCCAAACAGGATACAAATGTGAGCTGAACGCATGGCACTGCAGTGGGCGCCAGGAGTTCAAGTTCTTCTCAGCTCAGTTTACCGCTGTCGGGGAAGCCGGGGAAGCAACTGATGGCCGACAGGCGAGGAATTACCAAGGTCCACAGCTGCACTTCGATTGCGGCATGGGTGAAAGTGCCTGATAATTCGAAGCTTGACGTTTCCCCTGATGCATATTGGTGCGACTCCCACAAGTCCTGATCACTAATATCCCAAACAAAGAAACACGGCCCCTTTCGATCTACCAACGTCTAAATCCATGGTTTCGCTTGCACACATTCTGAGGGCACATCAGAGTTGATGGCGAAAGATCTTGGAGGCGCTGGGCACTCATTCCCATCTCTTGACATGGCAAGCCTAGCCGCAACAGTGCAACTAAACATACATCCCACGTGCTCGGATCCAATAGCGTCGCTGAAGTGCCAACGGTTTTTGACAAAGCGCGACGACTCTGCGGTGCAGCAATCGCACTGCCGGGTCTCTACAAATGGACAGCAGCACACGCGATCCATGCACAAAGGGAATGGACGACCGGCTGGGGGGCAGGGAGGGGGGGCTGAGGGAGCCCCAATGAGCCCCAAATAAGGCCTTATTAGAGGTTTAGGGGCTTATTTGGGCTCCCTCCCCCTCCCCTCCCTCCCCCCATCTTCCACATGGATCCCTTCGTCCCAGTCCCTTTGATTGACACACAGGCTGGTGCTGGCATCGAAATCTATCGCCGCAGGGTGCAGCTCAAGCTTGACCCAATGTCCACGGCCAATTAGGAACTCTTTGGATGGCTTCCTCTTCAAAACGTCCGGCCCGTTCAAGAAACAGTGTTTGCCTGGGGTGGGAAAGGGCACAGCCCCAACATTGAACAGGCTCGCACTTATAACAAATTGTGCATTGCCCACACTCTGCACATACGTCACTCGATTTGCCCTCTCAGTGAAAGAAGCCGCCTCTGAATTTCAGGACCAATGCAGCAACCCGACTCAAGCACTTGGAGGAAGGCCCCCTCCCCCGCCCGCAAATTCACCGAAGAACACTTCGTCCCATCGACTGGGCGAATTGCAACCGGTCGAAGTTTGTCGGGGTTAACTCGATCTAGAGCTCCCAATGAACAATTTCCAAATCACGCAACGTACCGTTTAAGCATCGGACACCCTAAGAAAGGAATCTCCATCATGGGAGCCTGGGGTATGCTGAAAAAGCATATTGGAGCAAGATTGATGCTGACAGGTATGCTTCAGCCGATCGGCCAGCTTCAACTGCCATAGCCAGTGTCTGCAGTTTTTGTTGGTTGCTGTCCCCCCCAGAAGCCCTCCATGTGATTCTCATGTCGTTTGCTTGTGGCAGCTGCCAGTTGGGGTGGACACCGCCTAGCTTCATGCGGTTAACATTGTGGTCAAGTCAGCCCGAGAACAGTCTTTCATCGCTCGGACGGTGGCAAAGTTTTCGCAGCCCGAATTGAGGAAAGGCGCGCGCATCTGCGCGCGAAGAGGCCGGCCCGGAAGCGATGGGAGAGATTTAGGCAAACGGATGGTCGGTCCAACAACTGAACCTCCGGACCACCCAGCAGTACAGCCCGTCTTGGGCGTGATCATTCAGCGCTTTTGCCGGGTCAGGTCTTTTTTCACTTGGAGGGACGCCACTCTATACTGACCCATACTGACCCTGTGCAAAAACACCCGCAAGTGCACGATGTCTTCAGTGACGATGCGTCTTGGTAGGCCTGCCGCGCACCGGAAACCAACTCCCGCTCCCTCCTCCAAAGGGATTCAATCAGATTTCACCCCCCCCCCGGTGGCTACCACTTATTTTGTGCAAATCCCCGCATCCGCTGGTATTTGAAAAGCAGCGGACATCCCTCTGCGAGGTGTGTTGAAAGCAAGAGACGTAGTTTCATCACAAAAAATGCACTTTGAAAAGGTAGCAAAGGCCAATGACGCTTTGTGTAAAGCATCCCGCGTGAAACGAGGCTTGGAGTTCCTGGATCGAAATATGTTGCATGCGCATCAATCCCTAAACTCATGCATAGCGAGCTGTGCGTGTGTGTGTGTGTGTGTGTCAGTTTTTGCACTGCTTTTGTACATTGCCAAACAAACTGCAGTGAGATCATGTGCATGATCTTCCCTTATAAGTCTCAAAGTCAATCAACAAACGCGAGGCCCCGACACAAAAAAACAACCATGCGTTGCAACTCAGCAGCCCATGGGACCTGACTTTAAGCTTCATGCACCCCGCATTTCGTTCTTGGACCTGCGGATTCATGACCCTCAATGGTGAGCCAGGATTAATAAACCCGTCCCATTCTTTGAGGGGGGGTGGTCCCTCCAAAAGTAATGACTCCCCACCAAAAGGGGACACCCCCCTATTCATTTATTAGGGGTTTATTAATCCGGGGCCTGAGGGCTTTCTGGCAGCGCAGGCACCTTCAGGCCTCAACAAAGGTAGCTTCCCCGCCGAATCGCGCGCGCCTGCGAGCTCAGTCCTCGTAGCTTTCGGGAGCTGCTGCTTGCAAGCGTGCCTCAGGCCCCAAGCTCCGCAGGCAAAAGCTTGGTTGACGTTGGAAGGGGAGCAACAATTGAAATTTTGGCCGTTAAGTGGTGGGATTTCAACCACTCAACCACAATAAGCACAAATGATTCAAATGTTTCCCAACGACAACCATGAAAGGAGCTTCCGACTGACCTTCCCACCATGGTGCACAGTTGGCCCCTTTCCAAGAGGAAAGTCGTCTTTCTGCTAGGCACTTCCATGTTAATGTCAACCCCAGGTTGATTTTGATCTGGGGGGTGTCTGCCTTTTAGTGGGGATTCAGACCATTTTTGGAGGGAACACCCCCCTGAAGAATGGGACGGGGGTTATTAGTCAGTTTCTGAGCGAAAGTGTCTCTCACTTGCCCTGGGGCTGTTCGAAGCTTGACGATGGACCCAAATCAGGGAAACCCGAAAGGTGAAAATCATTAAGGAATGTGACAACCAGGCGCCCCATGTCGTTGTTTGCTTTTCATTTTTTTTTTTGGGGGGGGGATTCTTTGCCTCACTTTTGACCCCAAAAGTCGAAAGTTCAGGAATTCGGCAAGTGAATTGCCGAATGGCCGCGTGGTGGATTGTGAGGCTCAGGTGAGGCCGGCGACGGGGTTTTCCGTTTCCTTGCGGGTACAGTATTGAATTCAAGGCGTCTCCTTTGGCCTCATGGGGTGTTCTGCCCAGTTACACCCATACAAATGAACATGGAACCCAGAAAACTCCTATTCGTGGAGGAAACTCCTCTTGGGGGAGGTTCTTTTTGGGGTTCCGCGTTCATTTCCACAGGGGTATGATGTGTATTTGGTTTCCACCATCAACAAGTCGGCCAAGACATCGCTGGAAAGAAGCGGGGCTTTGGCAACCCAATAGCAAACCGTCCAGGATTCTCACTGAAAAGGGGAACCCCCCCTGTGAATCGACCAAGAGGTTCTGTAAGCCTGGGCGAACATTACACCTTCTTGAGGTCACCTGCGTGTACGCTTCCACATCCAGGGGTACCTGGAAGATCAAGATTTTCTTGGAGGGAACCCTCGAGGGAAGGTATAGTACATGGTCAAAAATGTACAACATGTGAATGATGATGTACCTAGATAAATAAATATAAATATATATATATATATACCTGGAGCACCCTTCGTTACATAAATTTCTGCCCTTAGCCCAAACGTATTGCAAAACCAGGGGTCGTCACCAAAATATGGTAAACGTAAACTGTTTCCTGCTTCGAGCGTTTTTCCCAAAACCGGGCTGGCCGGTCCTCCAACATAATCGGTCGCTGAATGTTCAAAAGGAGCGAGCAGAAATCGAGGTGCAAAACGAGCGCAAATATCCGCAAAATGAGCGCAACTATTTGCAAAGGAGTGCAAATTTTTTTTTAAAAAAAAAGTAACAATCCCGCCTTCCTCTGGATGGAAGAAGGGGATGTGGTCGAGCGTTTCCGGGGGGGCGAGCGTTTTTTTGGGGGTCGAGCAGAAATCGGTAATTCGAGCGTTTTTTTCTCGTACCTTAAAAAAAGGCATGTTGGGTGCCTCAGGTATATATGTACACACAGGATCTTGCTTGCTTTTGGTGTAGTGCTGAGTCGTGGGGTTCGATGGTGTTGGGTCACTGAGCCGTGAAGAATACCCAGCGCAACGGCTCTTCATGACGAAGCAATGGCACCCAGGGTGTCGCAAACACAGGCAAACCGTAATCTACCCAGTCGAGTATCTGGAAGTGTGAGACCTCCCGTCACACGCTTCCACTAGTCCCCAAGCTGAGGGAACCGACGAGTTAACAAATTTGGGGGTTGCTTGACCTCAGCAACATTGCAGCTGGATGGAAGCAATGTTGGAACGTTTACCTGGCGCGGTTCCATTTTAGGGGTTGCGTGACCTCTTCAACAGCAATGTTGGAACGTTTACCTGGCTTGGTTCCATTGATGATGAGCCTGAATCGACGGTCAATTCAACACTATTGAGCCCATTCCTTTCATTTTTCGGGCCCCCTTCGCAGTACTTGTGCGGTGCGTGCGGATTTGGCAGCTTCAAGTCACACCAAATTTGACGTACTTTAAAAGGAGGCCTGATGAACAGTTTGCCAGAGCTGGGTGAAGTTGGTGCCAGATTAGTCCCAGGATTTCAAATACAGCAACAACAGGCCTGGACTATTCCCTGCCCCCAAAAATGAAACGGGGTTTCCCTACCCCCCAAAACATGAAACGGGGTACGGGGTACAATACTTTTTGGAAGAAAGAAACGAACTACGGCTACACACTACTCCACCAATACAAACCAATACTAAGCCAGCACAAAGCAATACTATACCAGTGCTAAACCAACACAAAGCAATTCTCAGCCAGTGCCAAGGCAGCACAAACCAACACTAAACCTGCGGGAGGCCAGTCTGACCCCTGAAATTGCTTTGCCGGTGCTCTCTATTGGGTCCAACTAAATTGCTGGGGGGGGGGCGTTTTTATTCGCAACATTGCCGCGCAATGATTACTTTCCATTTGGCTTCCATTCAGGGTGCCAAGGATGCGTAGCTTCTTCAGCGGTGAAGCTCTTGCGAGTTTCTTCCCGCGCCTCAAATGAGCCTGGCCGTTTTGAAAGCACCCCGCTTGAGCCTTCGGGGGGTCCTTAACTTGCGGGTGGTCAGGGAAGGGAATGACTATAAAGCAACACCGGACATATTTTCCAAGGGGATCCATGGACATAGGTGTCCTTTTAGGGGAAACAAATGGCCCTGGTAGATGGTTAAACCAGGCAAACAGGGGCCATTTATTTTTCTACCAAAACAACCAAAAAGGACACCTAGGTCCATGGGTTCATTCCTTGAGTTGCTTCCCTTAGAGCCAGCAAGCCTGTCAACCGGACACCAAAGCTCGTTCGCCAAGTGGCTGCCAGCTCTTCCCCGGTCTCCAAGCCCTGCGAGCGAATTGGCTTCCCCATTCGCTCCCTTATGCCAAAAGGGGAGCCTAGCCGGGAAGCTGAACCCTAGGTTATCCCTTTGACTCCCTTCAAATTTCAAAAAGGGATGGTGGAAAAGGAAGCTAACCTAGAAAAGGGATCCTAGGTTTTTCAGTGCTTCCTTCCGGCGTTTTGCCACTATAGTAAGTAACCCTTTGGGATCCTTACCAGGCTTACATGATGGGGAACGTTACGTACTATACTGGCCATGCTCAATTCCCCAAAACCTCAAAAGAACTCAAGGAAACCGGCACAGGGGTAGAGAGGGGCAGCTGGGTGCCTGGTGCAGACCAATCCTCGAGCATTCCTACCAAAGGATGAACTGAAGGATCCTTGCGCCAAGATTGTTCGCAACACAAGCGTAGGCCCCGTAGACAACTGGGACGGTTGCAAGCAAGCAAAGCCTAGCCAGTGGATCCCAGTTGCAAGCCCTGAAAACTTAGGTAAGCCTTTGCAATTTGGTAGCTAACCCTGCGCGCTATTGTCCTTCTGCTTCTTATATCAGGTGATTCCCTTGGCTACCTACAGGTAAATGGATCCACCGTGCTGTAGACCGGTCTTGGCTTTTGCTATGAACATTCATCCCAGCCTTCAGCGAAAGGCTGCCTTCCACACCGCGCTGGAAGGGATTCAGGGAAATCCTTCCCACCAAAAGTTTGACGAACAGTTTGCATGGGCAAAAGCGCGAGTCATGCAACTCTCTTTTGACACAACTATGGACAAAGGAGAGTCCTACAACTAGTGTGACATGACACGGTGATTGAGCAGCGCAAGGCTTTTTGGGAAACATGAACTGGGCTGCCCTCAAATCCCCCGCAAGCTTAACTTTTAGTGGGTAAAATGGAAACTACCACTAAACAAGAAAAAACTAAAAGGCTAAGGGGATGGCTTGGAGCCACCAAGTGAAGGTCGACGCGCCGGTTGCGAGGAACCCTGAGATGGCAGCGGCTGCCATCTCCATTACTCCCCGCGGGCTAAACCTCTGTCCGACTTTTTCTGGGGGCCAACTACGTGTCCTTTGCGGAAAATAAGACAGCTTAACAGCCCATTTACTGCCATTTGCTCAAGACCCTGGACACAAATAACAAAGTTATTGGTACTTAGTGATAGGTTCCAAAAAACAAATAACGCTAGGGGAGACCGGCAGCGTGAGCCAACCCTTTCGGCACACAATTGAGATCCGGATTCGCGCCTGGGATCCCATGAGTTGGCGAAGCGTCTTCACCTGCACAGGAATTGAGATGGCTGTGGGTCAAAAACAGGTACCAAAATGGAACCCTACATGGACTACAACATGCGGTCCCCTGGTGATTTAATTTTGACCCATATCCAGATGCTCCTCCCGGAGCACGTCAAGTTTTGAAGTGCAAACACGCCGTTGGTCACAAGCCAGGTCAAAAGGGGGTGTAGCACACCTGTCGGCCTATGGGATCCTGCATGGAACAACCTGAGCCCACTCTTAAGGCAACACTAACAGGACCTATCTAACATGTGAAACGCGTACTGTGTAGACGTGTTTATTCATTAACTTTGCTTGACTGTCCCGTAAGCAATCTACCAACTTGTGGACATCAGTCACTCCACCCCCCAAGACATCAACCAGGCCCAGCCACAAAAAACAACCTCTTGATGTAGCCAGCGGACAGGCGGGGGAGACCGCATGATTTCTAGCGCCAAAATTCGACTGATTGTACCAGAATAGCTGCAAAGGGCTACTTAGGCCATATATTACAATCCCCGGTAAGCCATGTGGCCATGGGTCAAAATCCCGCACCCCCAGTGAACATCCCAATCCCCACTACAATGGGTGGTGAATTCACCTACCAACCAAAATGGGATACCAAAACGGTTTTGACAACCACAGCCACGTGGCAGCACCTCCACTCAACGGCTATGTTTGGAGCCCAAGGGCCCGTTTCCGGCCTCTGGGCTGACTGGGCTCATTCCGGCCATGGTGGATGGATCTCGTTGACGGCGGGGCACCACGGACGGAGATGTCGGCAGCATGCCTGCGGCGGCCCATGGGGAAACGCCGCAAATCTGGGCGCTCCGTTTTCAGATCCCTTGCTAGAAGTTTAACTTTTAGTGGGTTCACGTGAAACTACCCACTAAACACTAAAAAGCTAAAAGGCCAATTAAGGGGATGGCGGGGAGCCACCAAGGCAAATCTGGGCTGACAAACTTGTGGGTTAAATGAGAAACTACCCACGAAACCAAAAGAAGAGCTACCGGACGGCTGGGAACCAAGAAAGCTGTGAATGCGCGCGCTCGTGGAGAACATTTCCCCGTTCCCTGGTGGTTGCCATCTTGAGGAAACTGAATCTGATGAGAAGATTTGGAGAATCGGTGGGTCCAAGCCTCAGCCCCTCACGGACAAGTAGACAGAATCCCCTCAGCCCCCTCATAACATACACTCTGTGGATGGTTGCGAAATCCAGTTTGCACCACTTTGAAACCATGGGAAGTTATTGTTTGTTGGTATTTACAGGAGAACCGTTCATTCCAGGATCTTTCAGGCGGTGCAGAATTTGTCCATCCACAGTAGGATCCATTTATTAAAACGTGGAAGGGATTACAAGTCTAACACTTCCAAATGATGATTCACCCATCACGAAAAAATGGTGCGCTGCTATTGTCAAAAACCAGCAAGCAACCGATATCCTGACCATGTGTAGATCGCTTCGCAATTCACAGACACGCGCCACTCGGAATAATGAAACCAACAATCTTGCAGCACTCATAGGTGGAAGCTCGTTCCACATGCAGGGGGCACGTGTGTTACACTCTTGTTGTGGCTGTCCCGCCGGAAGCGATAGCCAAAGTCGGAGAGAGAGAAGAAAGGGCTTGAAGCCCAAGTTGGAGAACAAGATCACATGGGTGTGGCTCAAAATTAAACAGGAGGGGTTACGCAGGTTTTGGTCCATGTTTCCACTTAGCAGGGTTCCATGTTGGTACCGGTTTTTTGAGCCACTGCCACATAGTTGGAAAACCCATTAGTTGGCAAAAAGTTATTCAGTCCGAACAGCCCTTGGCAAAATGCACCAAAGCCAAGTTGGAGAACAAGATCACATATCCAAAACCTCCAACTTTCCTTGGCTTCTCTTTCGGATGCCACCGTGAAAGGCGCCTTCTCTGAGAAATGCCGTGGAGTTTTCTATCGCACAGAGTGAGCCCGCCAAGCCCCGGTGACCCTATTGCCGAGATGCCACTACTGGGTGAGGCCGCTGACACGAAGCCTCAGTGCCACTTGGGGGATGCCCCAGGAAGGCCTCGAATCGTCTTTCTCGTCTCTCTCCTAGGTCCAGTGGAGAGGTTAGAACAAGGGTGCCATTTTCTTTTCTCTGTAGCCTATTTTAGTAGGGGCTTGCCCTCCCCCAAAAAAAGGATTGGTAAAAGGGCACTACTGGGGGACCTGGTCTCTGTCTCGGCTTATCTCGGCTTTGTCTGCACATTTCGGCATGCCAGATATCCCGAAAAGTCGAAAGTCCAGGAACTCAGAAAGCTCTTTCAGCCAAGATGCTGCGCATATTCATCCGTGCCCTGTGCGATTTCAGGGTGCAATCAGCAGCCAGTCGGTCGAACAAACCCGGGTGACTGTGGCAATGCACGGTTTTCTAGCCGGTCAGGGTGGCCTAAAATAAGGAAACATCTGCAATCATCACTGCTTGTGGGGATTCTGCAAGTCGGACAGCAATTTGCCATGTTGAACGTACTCTTGGCAAAAAGAAAGAAGGAACACAAACCAATGCATGTGTTCGGAACGTATGGGCCCCTCCACGCTTCCCAGGCGATCACAAGGGCCTGCAAGGTGATGGCACGTCCGCGGTCCAGCTTGGTGGGGATTGGCAGGGTGTGCGGGAAGAGGCATCGCCATAATTCACCTCGGCAAGCGGCTAAGGGAGGTCTCTTCAGAGCGCGCCCATCTTAAGGGGCCCCTATCCCCACGTGGCTATGGTTCATGTGGTTCATCCTGTTGTTCCCATACGGTTCCCATGCTCTTCTCAAAGTAAGTTTATGCTGTTCTCATGTGGTTCTCAAGTTGTTCCCATGACCTTCTCGTGTGGTTCCCGTGTGATTTCCAAGGAAACACGCAAACAAAGCCGCAACTGGTTGCTTTCATGGGCAAAACCCCGCACCTGACGCCGGGGCACAGGAGCCTTAGGAGAAGTCGCCAGGAGCAGGCGTTTGGACACGTCCGGGGTTGCCACCCCAGCGTTGGGCGATGCGAAAGGATAGCCCCTGGCGCGGTTTGAATCTGGGCCTGAGGTGGGGGAGGGCTTGGTCAAAGCTTTGGCGCCTGGATTCTAACTCGCTAAAAGTGGCGGATTCAGATTCCTCATTGGTGGCTTGGGAATTTGAACCCTAGTTTCAACTGGGAAACGAACCCATTGAGGTCCAAGCCACCAACCACCAGCTAGGGGTAAGGTGACAAAAAGCTCTTTCCATCTGTTTCCCTTGCTGTTCTACGTGGCTTTTCCCCTGCTAACTGCTTCGCCTGGCTTGCAATTTCTGCGCTTTGGGCGAGAGCGAAGAATGAAACCAAAATGGAATTTCTTTTAGAGGCCCCCCAGCAGAAAAAATGGGCGGCACAATTCGCGACACTTGATGCAGGTACTGGGGATTCCATGGGTATTACACAAAAAACAAGGATTCTACAACCCTCAAAGGGTTTGGTTACAGGAAAATCTACAGGACATGGCCCCAAAACACCCCAAATGAGCTGTTTCCGGTGGAATTGCCTGCAACCCAACCCTTTGAACCCCGGCTTTCCACTGACTGATAGGTCCTCCAGTAGAGAGGTTTGAATAAGGGTACCCTTAAGAACCCTGAAACCCAAAAAGAGCAAAAGGGCACTACTGGGGGACGCAAAGGACTTGCCGACGATTTTCTTCGGTCGAATACCCTCGGTCCTGGCGGAGGCATCGGAAGGCTTGGCGGTGGGAGAGCAGCCGGTGTAGCTCAAGGCTCCTCCGAAGCCGTCTCTGCGAAGGTATACCCCAGGGTGGGGAGTGCCGAGGGGGGGGGGGCGGTGGGGCGGAATTAAAGAACCTGGAACACATAAATATGTGTGTATGTATATATATGTATATATATATATATTTATATATATATATATAATACAGTGGTGCGTGTTTTGTGCATATCCTCCGCAGCGCTTGCAGGCAAGCTGCCTTTGGGTAAGCCTTCCGTATGGGCGACCTCTGGGTTTTACAGTCCCGAAACCCCTGGTGACCAGTGGCGCAACGCCTGGACCTGGGCCGAGAATCTTTGGTCCATTCCGATGGATCACTCCAGACCGTTCCCATGAGTCCAATGATGTTGGGGGTATTGTAGATCATTGGAAGGGCGACACGAAACACAACCTTAGCATTTGCCCCACAAAACGATATTGTTGACCAAATGCAACAGTTCAAGTCAACAGAGATCCACAGGGATGAAGGCTCAAAGTGGCAAGACTGGAGCATTTGGTTAACATCTACCCACTGCCGAAATCCCTTGCTCGATGCTCATTCTGCTTTCGGGACAACAGTGCTCACGCATGCAAATTGCAATCGATCAAAGCAATCCGTCCAACTCCACACTTGGCGCTGGGAAAAGCTTGAAACTGGGCGATTCTGTGCACGAACTGGCGGCTATGCCTAACAACTCCGTGTGCTGCCTCCTTACATGGTGCAGTTTAAGCTTTATAAGAAGACTCCCAAAATACGGCCAAATGATTCGATCCCCAAAGGGGCCTCACGGGTGTGCCATCGCTATACAGAATTCATACGACGTCTGCAAATAAAACCGAAGCGCTGCTAATCACCTCAGAAAAAATCAAGGCCAACGGGTAAATGCAGGTGCACATGGGTCTGTCCTTTTAGTTTCCCTTTAAAACCACTGACAAAACAGGTACCAACTAAAAAACAAGGCCACAGGTTGACCTCAATTTCCCGGAGGTCATGCATGAAACCTGCCGACCTGCCCAGCCACCAGGGCCATCCCCAAGCTGTTGCTGCCAAGAATATTTGGCTGTGGGTCAAAATAGGTTTTGGCTGTTGGTGCCAAGACCATTCTGGGAACCCTGGCAAATGGACACGGCTGAAACCTGCAGTCCCCTAGTAGCTGAATTTTGACTCGCACCCATTTCAGAACACAGTTCGATCAACCGCCTGCAACGAACAAGCATGGCACTCTGCAGCTTCCTTCCAAAAAGGGTGGTTTGGAGCCCGGTGGTTCAGGGGTTTCCCATTTACCCGCAAGAACAAGCTGAACACGGTGTTCAAGTCCCAAACCAATCTAAACCACCGACTAGGGATCACCACCTCAGCCACACCGACCAGGTCCATTGGGGCACACGGACAGAACCCGCCTGAGGTCTGGAGCCCTTTGAAACCCCAAATGAACGGAAACGCCCCTGGTTGATGAAGGTGCTTTTCTTTGCGTGAAAGCTGGCCATCCCACCAATTGCTGGTGTCATGACGCCTGCCTTTTGACGACTCCCACGTCGTTTTCACGTTGGTTCTTTTTCACAACTGCCCTCTTTTGGAGGGGAACACCACCTCCTAATACGATTTAACAGGATGGCTTTAGACAAAGCCAGCCCAGTGCTTCCAGGTGTTTCGTCACAGCAGGTGACCCTTTGGTATTGCCTAGGTGCAAATGGTTTCGCAAAGGTTACTTACTGTAGTTATCATAAGCACTCATCCAGGGTCAACATTTCCTCAGCCTCTTGCCCCGCCTGGGGGCAGGAAGAGTGCGGCTTTTGGCTGGTCCGCAGGGGCAGTACTCATGATACCTGGCGGACACGGCCAAACAGGACTTGAAAACAAAGCACAGTTGGGTGTGTCTCTTTTTCGGCCAACTACCCCTTCTTGGTGGTTTGCCAGGGGAGTCAAAAGAAAATCAACCATTTGGGGGGGGGGTCATTAAAACAACAAAAGCAAGACAGACCCACTCGGGGCTCGACAGGTCATGGTCGAATGCGTGAACTTTGTCAATCAAAAGCGACCCGAGCATGGCATCGCACCAACGAAAATTCAGCTCAGATGGCACCAAGAAGTGATGTTGAAACCGTTCATGCAGGAACATCCAGGACTCATGGGGCATGGGACCCCGGCCCCCTCCAAAAAGGCCATGAAGCGCAACTAAGGCCCATGCCCAGTGCCTCGAGGGCAAACCACTGAAGTGGGTAACCATCCCGCGATTCTCGCCTCTGGGTCTTACATGATGGTTTTCCCTTACCATAGAAGTGGAAGCCGTGTTAGGGGCGGTCTTGGGTTCTTGGGTCCAATTCTGCACGGCCCGGGCTTAGAGACTCTGAGATGTTTTTCTGTCAGGCGAGTCTTAACCGAGAGGCACTAGACAGACAGTCAATTCCTGACTCTCTATCCCTTACCCTCCCACCAACTAACATGGAACCTGTCAGGGGGGTCCTGGAAGACAATTGTCCTTTTAAAGCGACCCCCCTGTGAGGTTCCATGTTAGTTGGTGGAAGGGTGCCTCTCTTTCCATTCTCTCCATCCACCATTCACCTGTCAATTGGGGAAGGACATAGAGAGGAAAAAGAGTCGCCTTCCTTCACTCTATCTTTATGATGCATGCGCTGAACATACGCCCCAACCTCTTTATACGTGATGTATTATTTTTCGTGTACATGTGTATTTATATATATATATACATACGGCTCGCTTATATACATATTGTAGGTAAATATGACACATGTAGCATAATTCTGCATGCCCCAATTCTGCATGCCCCTTTAAGCTGCACAACCCGTACTACCGCGGCATAGAAGGCTATCTGGGACAAACACCCCGGTGCGCACATACACACGTTCCTCGAACTCTCGCGATGACCTCTCTCCAAAACTGGGAGGGTCCAAGAACCTGTCTGACCCACGCGGCGGTGGCGGCTTAGCTTCTTCTGGGCCAAGTCTAAGGCGGTTTCAAGCCCCGGAACGGCGCCTGGCCAGTTTCCCTCCATTGAAGGCGACATGGCCGCTCCACCTCGCGACTTGTGTGCCGACTGGGCATCGTATGGGTCGCCGCTACTCGCATCATACCGCAGCAAGTTCACAGCCTGCGCTAAACCCGTTGAAAGGTCAAATCAAGGCTTGGTGAACAGCTGTCCAACGGACTTGTTTTGGGGGTACCCGTTTTTTTTTTGGGATTTTAAAGAGAAACCAAAAGGAACACCAAAGCCATTTTTTGGGGGGTCCAGATCCGGAAAAAAAAAAGACACAGCCCACATTCCTGGCTGAGTCAGGCACCAATGCTCTGGCTGCACTCCACGCCAAGCTCCTGCATCCGAAAACTTTCTGTTCGCTTTCCATCCGATTGCGACTCAGGATTCACTGGGCGCTATATCGTACTTAGAGTACCGAAAGGATCCCAGTTACCCCAAAAAAATGGGGGGGGGGGGGGTGGATGTTGTAAAAGATATGTCCAAATCTCGGGTGGGTGTTGTTTTTCTATGGAAATATCCCCAGCGCAAAGGGAATTTGAAGGACAGAATCCATCTCCAAATCTGCCGAAAGGCCCAAAGCCCAGAGCCGGGCCTGGCCCACAAATCCAACCGGTGGGTGACCGGTGGGTGGGGGAGAGGTGGGTTTGGGGGGGGGGGGGGGGAAGAGGTGGGGTTGGGGGGGGGGGACCAGGAGAAATGAAGCCCATGGTTTTCGGGACCCAATTTCAGCGCGCGCAGTTCTTGCGACACCGCCAAAAACCCCACACAAAAAGGACAAACCGAGGAGCGGTTCCTTGAGCATGACAAAAGGAAGCTCCACTTCAAAATATCGAGCGACACAAGCGATGCTTACACCGGAAATTGCCATGGACCCCAAAATCATCCGTTTGGGCGGCCTACTTGTGGCTTCCTTCCGTCAAGTAGCCCAGTGCTTCCAGTTGGTAGTACCCATGGCAAGCCATCTAACACCCAAAGCCTAGAGGCGACACCGAAGCCTTACCTACGCCTAGAGTTAACAATACCAGCGTTTCGTACTATACGTCCATTTGCTCAAGTCCCAGGAGAAAACACATTTTCAGCAGCCAAGTCAGAAAACCCCTTGAACAAACCAACAGTAGAAACAAAACCGCAAACTATATGTTCCTTCCGCGAGTTCCTTTTTAGAGTGGCGAAACACAACAAGCGGAGCCACCACTCCGGGGCCCAAAAACCGCGCGAGCCGCCCCATCGAATCCGCGTCGCCCGCTCCGCGAAAGTCACGGCGCTGGGCCCTCGGGAGTTCACCTGCTGCTGCGCAGCCTGCGGCCCACGGAGCTCGCTTCGACCGGCGAAGGCGCACGGGCGCCAAGACGGAAACCCGCGAAAGCGGACACCGAAGGCAGAAACCACCAGGCACCCACCAAGAAGTTGTTGGTGGCACAACCCTCCAAGAACCTGAAAAGGTGGTAGGTGGCAAAATCCCCATGTATGAAGCCAATAGGGGGTGTCTTGTGTGAAGTTCGACACCACACGGAAACCCAAGCGGAACCAACGGGCGCCAGGAAAAATGGGATGAAGCCAACTTGGGGGGTGTCTTGTTTTAGGTTGCATCCAAATGGCTTCGGTGTTCGTCTTGGCTTCACCAAAAGGAAAGTACCAGATCAAAAAAGACCGACCCATATTTCTGACGAAACCTAGGGGGACATTGTCTCAAGGGAATGCCCCCCAGCCCACACCCACCCACACACACACACCACGCACCCTGTGGACAACACATGCAAGCAGTGTCAATGTTATCATCACATGTAGCTTGCCACATGAACAAAATACCCTCGCGACGATTGAGCTCTCTAGAAAGACACTCTCTGGTTGTTCAACTTGCTACGCCTGGCATGGCTCCAGGCTGTGCAACTAGGTTTAGCACATGTTGATCAGCTATCAAGCTGTGGCAGCACCATGTTGAAGGATCTCCCATGCTTTTTTGCATCCTGGGTCGGTTTGAAGAATAGCCCTCCATCAGTCAGGTATTGAAATGGGAAACATGCTTGATAACACTTCGCCTCACAATGCGGCCTGATCGGTGTCAAGTGTCCATGTAATTCGCAAATGACTTGACCTGCTGGAACGCCAACAACGCACTATGTGCATGGCGTGTTGCAGTGGTCATCAAACAACGAATATGTCCGATGGCCACAACAATCGCGTTGCGCGATAAGCTGAGAAATGCTGGCAAATGACCCTGGCTAGAGAATCAACTGCTGCAACATCGCGCGGAGTCATGGTGCTCGAAGCACAGAAACAAATGAACCACTCGTTGCAAGCACCAGCTCCGCCCAAAAAAACATTTGACGGTGGGTCACAACCAATGGTACCATTTTGGTACAGGTGCACCACCCATTTTTCTTTATTTCAGTGGGGAGTTGGATGTTCACTGGGGGGTGCGGGATTTTGACCCATGGCCATTTAACTTCTTTGTGCCTTGCAAAGAAACCGTTGCAAGCACCAGCTCCTCCCAAAAACAAAAGCATTTCTTCTCTGTGCGGTTTCCAAAAATCCCCAACAGACACACACTTCTTCGTTGTGCGGTTTCCAAAACTCCAAAAAAAACAAAAGAAAACAGAACGGATGAACCACGCCCTCCGAAAACGGCCCGAAAAAACGACCCCAGCCCCAGCTCCGATGGCAGCCGCCTTCTGCGCCTCCTTGCGGCGCCTTGCCCGGCGCTCGGCCCGGCGCCCGCTGCGGGAGGGCGTGGTGGCGGTGCTCTTCACCGACCTGCGCTCGGTTGCTTTCTGCCCCCCTGCGAAAAGTGACTAACTTTTAGTGGGTTTAATACGGGAAACCCATTAGTTGGCAAAAAGTGTTAACGTCCTAACATATCATTTGCCAAAAGGCACCAACATGCAAACTTCACCTGACCAAGCCGTAGCCCGGTATTCAATTGGCTAGGTCCTCCAGTAGTTTGAGGTTATAATAAGGGTACCATTTATTTTTTCGGTAGTCTATTTTAGTAGGGGAAAACTCCCCCAAAAAAAGGTTAAAGAACCATGTAAAGAACTAAGAAGGCGGCCGTAACTTTTTCTAGCTGACCCGTGCCCCTTACTAACCTTCATCTACCCGGGTTTTGATTGTGGCTCCCGTGCCCCGAAGGGATACGGGATGGGAGGGGGGGGCACTGCCGAAGGTCTGGTTATGGCCCAAAGAAAGTCCAAAAACTCTTTCCGCTATGGTCCAAGCGTTTGAAGTTCATACACTCAGGGAAGTGAGAATATGTTCGAACTAGTTCGACCCCCAGCGTTGAAGCTCAGTGCTAAGGTCCAACGATCGGTGACTTGATCAATCCAAGCAGTCGGGGTCACAATGCCAACTGAGACCAACCTCATTGGCCGCAAAAATTGGCACTGCAGGGCCATTGGCCCACCGCCAAAGGTGCAAAGTACATGATGAGAACGGACCTCCTTTTGCTCAGTGCCCAGTGCCCAGCACAACCCAAAACACCAAGACCTTGGCAGTTCTGATTGAAAAAAACAACTCAGTCCAGTGAGTCCAGTGCGATTGTCAAACGGACTCACCTAGAGCCGGTGCAGGCGTGTGACTCTGTTTCCCTCGCACACATTCTCGTAGTCCAAGTCGCGGCGAGATGGGCATCGAGTCGCCGAAATCTTCAAACTCCTCCTGGCAAGGAACGCCTCGCTGCATTTGTCTTGCTTATCCATGCCTTTTGAACCCTGTGGACAACTCGGCTGCTTTCTGCCCCCCTGCTAGAAAAATAAATTTTAGTGGTTTAGTGGAAAACCCATTAGTCATGGGGTCACCTGCATGTGCCCCCAAAAGGGGTCCCCCAAAAGTAATGTGCTCTTTGCTCAAATGGTGCCTAAAAAGCGCTATTTAAACTCTTTTTGCCACATAAATGGACATTGCTCAAATAGTGACTAAAAAGCTAGATTTGATACATTTGTTCTCTGCTGCCACTTCATGTTCAAGGTCAGCAGTTTATCATCTGGGGCAATGGACAATTGGCATGATGACGCAAATGCTACTCAAATACTCCAAAACACATCCTAATTTGAAGATTTTGGTCAAATCTGCTCAAATGCTGCTCAAATGCTACTCAAATGCTACTCAAATGCTCCTCAAATGCTGCTCAAATACTCCAAAACGCATCCTAATTTGAAGGTTTTGGTCGAATCTGCTCAAATGCTGCTCAAATGCTACTCAAATGCTACTCAAATGCTACTCAAATACTCCAAAACACATCCTAATTTGAAGATGTTGGTCGAATCTGCTCAAATGCTGCTCAAATGCTATTCAAATGCTATTCAAATGCTACTCAAACGCTACTCAAATGCTACTCAAACACTCCAAAACACATCCTAATTTGAAGGTGTTGCCCAAATTCCACGAAAAACCTTTAAATTAGGTGTCCCAGGGTATACCAACCCCCACTCAATCATAGGATCCAGTCATGGGTTCCACAATGTTTACCCCCCCCACTCAATGTGCAGTTTTACTGCTGTTAAGCGCTTAACTGTGGGGGGACCCCTTTTGCGGTCCAAGCAAAATGCACCAAAGTATCCATGCCTCATGAACCCTGTGGAAAAGTAACAGCGCCACCACAGCAGCGGTGCCACAACATGTGTGAATGCGTGAGCTGACATGATCACGCATGACCTGTGCTCGCTCAGTTCCCAGTCCTCATCCCTGATGTCCTCGGATTAAAGCAAGGCCGATTCCAAGTGAACTGTCCAATGCCAAGATCCCGAGTTAAATGCAAAACCTCGTCGCAAACGCCCGGGGCAAAACTCGTGCAAGGAGTCTTGTCAAGCATGGCTCCAAAGCATGCTGACAAACATAACAAGTGCAGGGGTAGGAGGCGAAAGCCGCCAACTCTGAGAGCGTACACAGAACCCACACGCACACCATCGCACACCCATATATATATATATATATTTATATATGTGGATATACGTGGATATATATATATATATGGTTGCACATGTCTATATAAATATAACTGTGCATTCACATGCAGCAACTGTGCGCGCTTACCTCTCACCATCTTGCAGCATCATGATCGCACAGGCAGGCTGCAGTCGCACTACTCTAAACCGTGCATCTGTGTCGGTGTGATGCCCGGTTCTGCGTGTCGCACTTGCACTCGTGACATGCTTCAAACAACAAACATTAGAACAAACAATGCGTACAACACATCGATGAATGGGGGTTGGGTTGCGCAATGGCCTGTGCTGCTCAACACTCAAGAGAGGCAACACATGCACTCACTTGCCAAAGGCAATCCAGTAACAACCTGAAACAGAAATAAAACTCAAACCAAATAAGCCATATAAGCCACTGGCAGGGACAAACAAGTTTTGGCAGACGTTTGTTGGTTTCACGACATTGCAAGCCTTTTCGCGCCCCTCTAAAGAATCTCGAAGGCGACCCCAAAACAGATACCCTGAAACACACTGACTCCCAAATGACGGCCCTCCGCATTGAACAATTCCAACAGCATGCCCAACACCCTTGGGGTGACGGCTTCAAATAAGACAGGAAGGGAACCCCCGGCCGATTTCTCTCTTCAACTAGGTCCTCCAGTAGTTTGAGGTTAGAATAAGGCTACCATTTCTTTTTTTATGTAGTCTATTTTAGTAGGGGAGCCCTCCCCGAAAAAAAAAAAGGGGGGGGGGGGAAAAAAAGGTAAAAGTCGGCACCAATTGCTGGGCCTGGTCCATCACAGCCTTCAGTCCGGTGATTCAGTCAGGCGGCGCACCAGGCCACGTTCTCGCGCTTCTGCAGGGGCAAGGTGGGCTTCTCCACTGCGCTGGCCTGGCGACTTGGAGAAGCCGAGAGGCCGAGAGGCCGAGAGGCCGAGAGGGGGGCGGTGGTCGAAAATGGGTACCCGAAATGGCTTGCCCTAAAACCTGTGGTTTTATCTGGGGGGGTTGTTTTGAAAATCATGCGTGGATGCCCTGGCAAATGGCTTGCCAAGGACTAAAACCTGGGGTTTTATCTGGGGGGGTAGACTTTGGACCCATACCCAAATGATGCGTGGAATCCTGGAGAAACGCCTTCCCGACATCTTGGTTGCTGCAACGACCCCCCTGCCAAAAGTTGTTGACTTTTCGGGGGTTGAGTGGAAACCACCTTGATTTCCCAAAAAGTTAAAGTCTAAAGATCCAACCCAATAGCAGTCAAGAAATGGTGTCGATGAGCTTGACAGGGCGGGCGCTGACAAACCCCATCTCAGCCAAATCGCTCGAGGAAACCCGATTTTCCCGCACCCTCATCCTTTTCCCGCGGACGCCTAGTGTCAAAGTAACCTTCTAAGCCCCGGTGGGAGACGTGCAAAATGCGCCAAACCAAAGGGTGATTTGATTGGTGGCCAACCCCCTTCTGGGTAAGGAAGGGGGAGGACCCAACCCAAATGGCGGAATTTGGCCATCTTTTACGCAACTCTACCCTCCCATCAAACAGGAAAGTTCACAAGCTCCAAAAGGGGTCTTTGCACTTCCACATTTGGCGCAAGGGTATGGTGTTGTTTCCCTCAACTACGAAAAAAAGGTTCCTTCCCAGCAGGGTCCTTGCCCATGAAGCAGCCCACGTGTGCCCACATGTGTAATTATATATATATATAGAATATTATGTGTATATATAATATACATATATTTAGTTCATCTCGTTAAAGAGATTCTTCCATCGAGAAGCAAAGGTATTGAAAGCCCGCGGGGCTGGCCATGCTGGAACTGAAGTTACCCCCCTCCCTCCGAGGCCCCCTCCCCCTCCCCCCCCAACACCAGCAAAAACCAGGTTTTCCGCCAAGACAATGGAAACGCACGCATGTGTTTGCGATACGAAGAAGCAGTCTTGAAATATTCTGTAAACCCTGGTTGACGCAATGTTGCAACAACATCATTCTGCAAAACCACACGCGCAAAACAACAACTACTCATATGGACGATCCAGAGACAAGGTCCACGTTGGACGACCTATTTTGAAACTGACGACTGTAGGTTGCTTAGCGCTCAGAATGCCAAGTGGCTAACATCCAGCACTTCAAAAACTTGACGGCCCAGTCCAAAATATAAAAAAAGCTTCTGTGCTGAGCTAAGCTAATGGCGAATGCTGAACTTACTCTCGCGTGGGCCATGTCATGTCATGTGTTACTCTCAAGAGCCAACCTATGCACTAGCCTGGATAGAAAGGGGCAGTGCTTGTTGGAAAGCATCATGTTCTTCAATGCAGGGAACACCGATTCAGAACATCGTGGCTCTTCGCCCAAGTCAAATTTCATCTCCGCAAGTCGGCAGATCCGTTCGAACGGCCAGCTCTCTCCCCACCGGGCGCCTCCGAGCGGGGCGAGTTGTTGCCCACGGTGGTGGATTCCTGAGGCTCGCTCGCTGGCGCGAGGCTCGCGGCTGAGGCGAGGCTGGCGAGAGTCTGGTGCTCATGTGGCCAGGGGGGTCGAAGCTTTGGGCCGTTGGACAAATAATATTTCTAGCAGTGAAATCGATTCCCTTTGCAGATCAAGAGGGGAAGCTAACAACATGGTCCGAAGCAAATGAAAGATGAGCTTGTAGGACTCGGGCGGGCCTGGGTCTCCAGTGGGGGCGATCTCTTCGCTGGTTGCCCACTTGGCAAGCGTTTTGAGCCACCCGCCCCCTGCAGCCCCTGCAGCCAGCATGCAACTCCCGTGATGTCGCTCTTCTTGGATTCTTTTGAAGACCTCAGAGGCAACGAAGTTGCACAAGGTCAAACCTATGCTTGCTAGATCTTGCGAGGCTCGGCTCGTGTGCCACGCCATTCTTTCCAGGAAGTAGGAAACTGCCGGACGGGAGGGTGGCTGCTGAAAAACAAAGGATGGGCGGGAATATGGGATCAACCTCGAAACGAAACATTTGAAGGACATTTGCCAAGCAGGCGCACGCACCAGCAAAACACGTCGTGGCACGTTAGGCAACTTGCGGCTCATGTGGGTTTGCGTAAAAATAGGGACCCCCAAAATGGTTGGCTTCCCTTTAAAGCCAGCCTGGGTACGCTCCAACAGAGACATCCCCATTTGTCTCTCCTAAATGCTACAATTGCAGACCCCATCTCCAGGCCATACGCCAAGCACCCGCTAAGTGCTGGGCATGCGCTGGGACACGAGTCCAGGAGTCATTGGCTTCATCTCGGGCATGCTTACCTCAGCTCCCAATGCAGCCAACACCTAGTTGCACGCAATTCCATAAACGACTCTCTGGTGGACATCGTTCAGAACACATGCATGGGATCTTATGTAACAAACCTGTTAGCGCTATCTTCCCCAAGAAAAATCCGATCCTCCCGCAACCTCCCCTTTTGGCCGAGGCGCAAAGCTTGGGACGGCACTTGCGACACGTGTTCGAAGCTTGGGCCGGCAGCTGCCAACGTGCCAAACGATGCGATCAGAGCCGGAGCCAATGTCCCAACCGATTTCCTGCACCACTTTGAAACCAAGGGAAACCATTGTTTGTTGGTATTTACAGGCCAATCATCATTCGAGGGTTTCTTGGGTCTGCAAGATCTGACAAACTTCCATTCGGTTGAGACCCCTGGCAAAAAAACAAAAAAAAACATATGTCCAGTAGTGATAGGTTCCCTTCAAAACCAACAGGGAAAACATATTCTTAAGCAAATGGAAGCAAACAGTTCGGAGGTTGCCAAGTGAAGCAGAAAACGCCGGGCAGAACGTACCTTCATGATCGTGCTGGCGCCAAGCTTGCTGGATTCTGGGTTTGTGCTTGGGCGATGCATGCGGTGACCAAACGCACGAGCAACAACACAGTAGAGTCCGCCCATAGAAAACAAGGTTGCCTGCACCAATTCGGGCATTCGGGAATCATCAACTTTCTTTGGAGGAAACGCAATAAAATGCAAGAAGTTACTCTCGAACCCAAACAAACACCCTGGGACAATCCCAGTCCTGGCAGTGGATTCAACATGTGGCACGAGACACCAATCTGCCTTGACTCACAGGCTGCCCCAGGCAGGTCCGATTCAGAAACTCTGACAACCTATTCCCAGCTGTGTGACTGAAGAGAAGGCAGCCCTCTACCCGTCCAACAAAAATCTGAGGGCTGTTGCATTACACCTGGGAATGCACCCACTGGGTATTGATCCCATTTAGGCACATTTCCGGATAAAACCGTGTTGTTCTGAACCATTCTAGGTCATTTCCCAAGGGTGTAATCCCAGGGTGTAATACAAAACAAAACAAAAAACTCATGAACAAAAAGGGGAAGGGTGCCACTGGACTAAGACTTCCGGCGGGGACCCACGCGACAAACCCCTTTCGTCCTTCTGAACGAGAAGTGCAGTCGCGCGAGCCATGCGGCGCGACCGGAAAGCACTTCCGGGCCTGCAATGTTTTTGGCCTACATGGGAAGATGGTACACCCTGAGCAGTGGCGAGCCATCCCTGCAACCTTCTTCCTCAATTCCCATCGGCCAGCCACTCCTATGGGGAATGCGGGAATTAAACGATTCGGGACCCATTTTAATGGCTTGAGGCTGGGGCGTTGGAACACGAGCTTTGGGGAGAGTGAATGCTAGAAGCATCATGAGGGCTCTCAAGGCCACGATGACCGTTTTCGCACATGGCACCGAGAAAGGTTGCGCCGCGCAAGCTGCGGCGCAAGCGCTGCTTGAGCCCATCCGGCAACTAGTCTGGCATAGCCAGCTGGTATCTTGGCCAGTCTGGGACTGGCTTCCTGTGCACATGCGCAAACTAAATCACTACTCAGTAACTCGGGCCGGACATCCACAAGGTTCGGATTGGTTGCGAACATCGAAGGGCCACTCCCCAAACGGCATCCCAAGGTTCGACCAAGAAACAAACAAATAAGAAGACAACACAACAAACACAAACACGCAAGAGTCAGTGCGCAAACAGCACAACACCCTTCTGAATGCCGGCCATTCCCGTTGTTGTAGTAACTGGACAATTATCTGTTGGATGCTTTTGGGCTTGCTAGTGGCACAATTTAGAACGGTTGAAGCACAACACAAAGTCCAACTTCCTATCTTCCGGCACGAGCAAAGAGAACCAACTTTGAACCAACCATCTGGAGGGCGTCCCCACTTTGTCACCCTCAAGTCTTCACTCCTGGACCAGCCCCCCCTCCAACCGCCCATCTCTGCAAAGGGGGGCGGTACGGAGTAGAGCCTGGGGCGGCCGCAAGGGCCCATATCCAGATGTCCAACTGGAAGTTGAGAAATCGCAACCGCAAGTGGATTCAGGCTTTTTTTTTACTTGCTGTACATCCCTCAAATGCATGTTGATTTTCCCAGCATGCGCACAACAAACAAGTTTTGATACTGTGGGTTGGCATCGCGCATGCAACTGAACACGACCAAGCGTATGACGTCATTTGGGTTGGGATTCATGACCACCAACCACTGTGAGGTGGTTTTATAGAACATGTCATAGCCCAGCATGATGGTTGGTGTTGGGTCAAGGTTTAGTGCGCCTGTGCTACCGGATGCCATATGCGAATATTGAGCTCACGCAGGGCAAGTTGCATGTGAGCATTCAATGCAATTCAATGCAGCAGCTACCATCAGGGCAAAAGGGTGCATCCCACTTCTTCACTGGCTCTGGTGGATCAAGGGAACTTTTTGGAGATGATAATTTCAATAGGACAAAACCGACGAAACAAAGCCAGTGCTTCCAGTTACTATCGTAGGGAACCCTTCGGTATGGCAACATCTGGGTTTTACATCCCTTGGCCCTCGTTATCATAGCGGCAACTGCTTGTTGCTTACTTGCGCTTGTGTTGCTTGGTTTCCGGGGCACACGGGAGGGCTCCTGACCGGCATCTTGTTGCCCTGTGGTAACTGGGCCTAATGAGCATTGGGACATCGACTAAGCAAAAGGGAAACTGGATGCACTGGAAAATGGTGTATGGCAAATCAGGAGCACGTTCCTCCTGCAGGTCAGCTTGCAGGCAACACCAATGACTCTGAGCCTCTTACGCGCATGCACACAGAATTGACGTGGGTCGATGAGATATGAACATCTTACTCCTCTGACTGTCCTGAGCCCTGCCAAAGCGAGCCACATAGCAATGTGAACCCAAACAACTCCCAGTCCAAGTGAAAACTACCCCCTGCCCGAGAAACTCCGCTAGGGTTCTATTCTCCAGCTTAGTTTATGAGGCAAACGGCCCGCTTGGACAGTGCAGAGTAGCAAGCTGCAGCTGGTGACTCGCCTTGTCAGCCTCCGGGCATGAATCACATACGCGCGAAACCAACATGCCAACAGGTCCGACCACAAGAAGGCATAATATGGCTGTGGCTTAAAAAAAAAAAACGGTACCAAAATGGAACCCAGGTAAGTGGAAACATGGGTGCCAAAACCTGCGGTTTGCCCCTCCTGGCTGATTTTGAGCCACACCCATACGTGTCTGTCAGCTTCAATGGGTAGAGGTCGCGAAGCCAAACATCGGTTTCCGTCCCAGCCTGCGGGCCCAAGTGCCTGCAGCTCCAAAGTTCACTTCGGTCAAAGAAGCATCGGCGCCGGATATTGGTTTGGCAAACCTGGTAATGTTGAGCCCAGAATAACCAACCCCAGTGTATTAACAGGGGGATGTCCAACTGGGTTTGGTGGGGTAGAAGTTTCCTCGCGTCACATGCAAACAAGTGCTCCGAAGATCGCAAGCGCCGCTTCCCGTTCAATTGTTCGAGGTTGTATCAAGATAAAATGGCCCAACAACGCAATTCCAGAGGTTACCCCCCTCTGCCGGAATTCCATGTATAAGGGGGTGAACCATTAGGGAGACCTTTCTGGCTGTGGCCCGTTCCCAACGGCTGCTTGCCTAAGAGACGTCAATAGAGATTTTACTTGAGTTACAAGGCCGGGAGGCCCAGTTGCACGCATTGTAATGAGACAAACACTTCACCAGCATACCACAGGCACAGGCACCAACACAAACATAGACACACACACACACTTGCATAGCCTTGCCAAACCCACACATCACACGCATGCGGACCCTCCAGAGTCGTGGGGCGCCGGCGTTCACGGTCATCTTGTTGTTGATGGCGGGCTGATGCCTGCAGGCTTGAAACATTGATAATCGATGAAGCTGGTAGCCAAAACAATTGTGCAGGAAGCGTGCTAAGTGGCGATGTAAGAAACAGCATCCACGGAACAAACACATCCACCGCTACACAAACACAAGTATACCTACAGTTGCTAGTGGTAGTGGTGGTAGCAGTAGTATAGTAGTAGAAGTAGTAGTGCAGTAGTGGTAGTAGTAGTAGTAGTTGTTTGTTGTAGAGTCGTGGTAGTAGCAGTCGTAATAGTAATAGTAGTAGTAGTAGCAGTAGTAGTAGTAGTAGAAGTAGTAGTAGTAGTAGTAGTAGTAGTAGTAGTACTAGTACTAGTAGTAGTAGTAGTAGTAGTAGTAGTAGTAGTAGTAGTAGTAGTAGTAGTAGTGGTAGTAGTAGTCGTAGTTGCTGCTGCTGCTACTGCTGCTGCTGCTGTTGTTGTGCTCCTTGTAGAGTAGTAGTAGAAGTCGTAGTAGTACTACTAGTAGAGTAGTAGTAGTAGTAGTGGTGGTGGTGGTGGTGGTGGTAGTAGTAGCAGTCGTAGTAGTAGTAGTAGTAGTAGAGCAGTAGTAGTAGTAGAGCAGTAGTAGTAGTCGTAGTAGTATTAATAGTATTTGTAGTAGTACCGGTAGCAGCTAGCAGTGCTGGCAATGACCCTGGCTCCGGAAATGTCCCGGGGCACCGCGCTCCAAGAGGTTTGGCAAGTCCTTGCGGGACACGTGTGGGTTACATGGACTCGTGTGGATGCCCAGGTGATCAAGACCCTCCAGAAAACCCCAAAGCCACCTGTAGCCCAGTTGCTCGGTTTGGACCCAGAAATTCAAGGCCTTCTGGAACCTTGACTCAAAATGGACCAAATCAGGGAAGCCAAAAGGTCAAAAGGTCGATTCGCTTTGGGCCACTGGTTAGTTCTTGACTTCTGAAGGAAGCCCTTTTCAGGGTTAATTTGGGTATTCAGGGTGACTGTCACGGCGCCCGGCTTCATTGGACTTTCTAGGAGTGGGCCAAATCGCGCATCATGTCAGGGGCTCCCATGGCTGCATCATAGTGGATGCTTAAAGCATCCTATCTTGACAAATGATTGCCAATGAATTCCTCTTGTGAAAGTCAACACGGGCTCGTCCCTGACAGCAAGACTGCCATGCAAATCACAACGCATATTCCCCCACCTTGCCCAGTTGGGCAGGAACAAAAATGATGGGATCCTTGTTGGGAGTCAACCATAGGAGGCCTTTTGGAAAAATAGATGGCCCTGGAATATGGAATAAACCGCATCTAAACCAGCGCCCTCTATTTTTGAAGCAAACCAACCAAAAAGGACACCTATGGAGTCAACAA